AAGAAGAAGAAGAAGAAGAAGAAGAAGAAGAAGAAGAAGAAGAAGAAGAAGAAGAAGAAGAAGAAGAAGAAGAAGAAGAAGAAGAAGAAGAAGAAGAAGAAGAAGAAGAAGAAGAAGAAGAAGAAGAAGAAGAAGAAGAAGAAGAAGAAGAAGAAGAAGAAGAAGAAGAAGATTGAAACTACACATGCTCTGTTCAAAAGCTCAAGTGTGCCTTGATTGTTATTGGGTACTATCATTCATGCAATAGAGATGACTTTATGAAAAATGTGCTGACCAAGACACACACACACACAAGAGGTGAAGTAGAACCAAACCATTATGAAAGAATTATTGACGGGTCCTTCGTGCTCTCTGACCTTGCTCATTTTCTTGCAGACATTTCATTACCCAACTAGGTAACATCATCAGTGCTAATAAGGAGTGCGTTTTGCTGTCAGTTTATATTCTAGTGGCTTGCCCTGTTAGTGTTGGTGGGGATGGTCTTAAAGATTCTTTGGTTTGCTGTTGGCTTCTTTGGCAGTTTCATGACTGGGTATTGTTTACTTGATTGTTTACTTGATTGTTTACTTGATTGTTTACTTGATTGTTTACTTGATTGTAAAGTGGGACTTATTAGAAACAGGTTTCTTAGTTTTGCACCTTAGTTTTGCACTGTCAGATTACATTGCCAACCTTCAGCAGCAATTGCCTATTTTTGATAACACGGCTGTATTCTTTTCACCTACCGTCTCAAAACCAAGATATAAAATAGTGCATGTGCTCTCACATGCATGCATGCAAAACAACCCAGAATTTCCAAACTAATTCCTCTGTGGATGTTACACAGTTATTGGCCAGGCTCCCAGGAGCCTTTAGAGGTCAAAAAAAAAAAAAGTGCATGCTTGGCCCAGAAAAAAATGTGTATGGTACTTTTGCAGAGGAAGGGAAAGAGAACAGTGAAATTTCATTCTTTCGAGTATGTGGGCCTCTGCCAAGTGCACTTCCTCTACCTTTGCCCCTCTGGGCACTGAGCAAGATAAGTGCCTTTTTTTTCTCCTCTTTATTTCCAGTTTTCACAGGTCCTGGTTGGGCTGATATTTTTAAATATATATTTTAAACATATGTGTTGTATAAGTACATAAATGTAATAGTAATAGCGTTTTTTTTTAAAAATTGCGCATTGACAAATTTTTCATCATTTGATTGCAAAAGGCCACACTGCTTGGATCCATAGATAAGAGTATGCTGATACATTATGATATCCTAAGTTCTTGGGAAGAACTTGATTATATGAAGGCGAACACCAGCTAAAGAACTGGCAGCTGTTCAAATTCTTGTGAACAGATAATAATAACATCCTGCAACAATAGCTTTAATATTAAGAGCTGTGGCGGTGCAGAGGTTAGAATGCAGTATTGCAGGCTAATTCTGCCGATTGCCAGCAGTTCGATCGTGACCGGTTCAAGGTTGACTCAGCCTTCCATCCTACCGAGGTCAGTAAAAGGAGGACCTAGATTGTTGGGGAAAATATGCTGACTCTAAAAATGCTTAAAGAGGGCTGTAAAGCACTGTGAAGCAGAATATAAGCCTAAGGGCTATGGCTAGTGCTATTAAGCAGCAATATCTGCCTAACCCAAGTCCTTGGGAGGGATCTGATAGGTGGATAAATATGACAAATCCAGTCTCAACAGCGGACTGACTGTGCAACCAACCGTAATAATAATAGCATGCCATCCAATTTCCAGCAGCTCTGGACAGTTTAAAATTGTTAAAACATTTTAATTATAGAGAACAATACAAAAGACATAAAAGAGCAGAAGGCAAAAGGACAACGATGGCAGAGGGGAACAGAAAGGAAGAAAGGGATCTCAATCATCCTCTCCAAAGGCCTGGGCCCTCTGAAATCCCAGTTTGTCCATAAAATTCTCTGCCTTTGGATACGCTGATAGGCGTTCAAACACCCAATCTTGCTTTTAGGAAGACTGATCATACAGCAGTCATCAGATCGATACAGACATCACTGCGTGAACTGACATTTCCTAGTTCTAAATGACACACTAAAACAAAGAAGATGAGGTAGAGTATTGAAAAACATAATTTCCTTAAATCTGGAGGAGTTTTCAAAGTACGTGTCTGTTAACGAATGCTTGAAAATGGGGGGGGGGGAGGGATATGGGTGATAAAAAAAATGATTTTAGGCTTTTGAAGAATATATGGGTTGGGTCTTAGGCAGGTAGTTAGGAAAGTGTCCCTAGTAAATTTTACTTGTCCGGTCTGGATGAAAAAAGAGCACTTGTGGATCATGTAATCATCAAATTGCTAATTTGTTTTGTTCCCCTCAACTCTGTGGCTTAATAAAATACCCAGTTAACAACTGGGAGTAAAGATCATTCTTTGCTCTTATCAGAGCTGTTACATTTCCGGACACTTGACATGTTACAGTTAACACGTGATATCATAGGAACCTCCCTGTTGTGAACAATTTCACCTGCTATTTCTTGAATAACAAGTATAGTTAAAGGTAAAGATAAACAGACAAAGTGACAAAATGCAATCCTTACTAGCCTGGAGCATCTGTTATTTTAAAAGAACTGTCTTACCAAAGAACTGGACCTTTTTGTAGAAAGCCTTTTTCTTGACTATTTCTGTGCTTTGAGAAATAGCTCGATTAACAGTAAACCAAAATGTATTCAGTATACCACAAAAAGCTTTCTTTGCCCATCAAGCTTTTGTTCAAGATAGAGAGGCCACTTAATACTTTTCACCCCTCCAGTATTAATCCTAAAAATACCCTGAACTTTTTTGGAGGGAGGGGTGGAACCTTGATATTTAGTGTAGAAGTTCACATTTTCATTACATTCTATTCTATTCTATTCTATTCTATTAGGTGTACAGCCTATTCATAATATATTTAAGAAGTTTGGGAAACATGCATCTGGCCCTCCATTTTTAGTCCCACAACAACCTTATAAATAGTTTAAATTGGAAGAAAGTGAATGTTCACAATCACAGCCATATTATAAAAGAGGACAAGAATCCTTTATCAGGTATAATTGTGTATATTTGCATATATACACGTTTGGAGCAGAATGACTTTTGTGATTCTGGAAGGTCTTTTTAAATCTATTTTTTGTCTCTGTGTTATAGATTTCTCTGTGTCCTGTGACCTGGATTCAAAAGGTTCCACCCTATCTTAGGAAGGTTTGATCTCTCTGGTTCTTTCATTCTGTTGAGCCAGGGGACATTACTGTCCCATAATTAGAAGCCTAATCGGTCAGAAATGGTGCATCATTGAAGCCCCACACACCTTTTGTCCTTAGGAGCCACCTCTGTGAGGGATTAGTGGACCTTTGAAGTCCCCTCTGCAGCCCCTGTTCATCCTTTGTTGCAGACCACAAAACATATATTCTTAAACATCAAACATCTGCAGGCATTAACAGTTAATTAGCACTGCAATTTGCTTTCTACAGACAGCCGGATTTTAACTGGGAAGCACCATTGTAAGGCCCGGTTTGGAATGGTTAGGCCTAGTGCTCCAAAGGTGGGCATTGTTTGAGAAGTGATTCGAACTGACAGCCTGGAAGCTCTGGCACTTTGGATTACAACCTTGCTTCAGCATTGGAGGAGTTTGGCCCGCCTGCTGGAAAGAGGT